TGAAAGATTGTGTGTGAAAGATTGTGTGTGACAAAATTGTGTGCGAGAAAGTTTATGCGTGACAAAGTTGTGTGTGAGAGATTGTATGTGAAAGATTGAGTGTGTGAAAAATTGTGTGTGTGAAAGATTGTGTGTGACAAAGTTGTGAGTGAAAGATTGTGGGTGAAAGATTGTGTGTGACAAAATTGTGTGCGAGAAAGATTGTGTGGGACAAAGTTGTGTGTGAGAGATTGTATGTGAAAGATTGAGTGTGTGAAAAATTGCGTGTGTGAAAGGTTGTGTGTGACAAAGTTGTGTGAGAAATATTTTGGGTGAAAGATTGTGTGTGACAAAATTGTGTGCGAGAAAGATTGTGTGTGACAAAGTTGTGTGTGAAAGATTGTTTGTGACAGATTGTGTGTGTGTGAAAGATTGTGTGTGACAAAGCTGTGTGTGAAAGATTGTTTGTGTGAAAGATTGTGTGTGTAACAAAGCTGTGTGTGACAAAGTTGTGTGTGAAAGATTGTGTGTGACAAAGTTGTGTGTGAAAGATTGTTTGTGAAAGATTGTGCCTGTGAAAGATTGTGTGTGTGTAACAAAGCTGTGTGTGACAAAGTTGTGTGTGTGAAAGATTGTGTGTGACAAAGTTGTGTGTGAAAGATTGTTTGTGACAGATTGTGTGTGTGAAAGATTGTGTGTGTGAAAGATTGTGAGTGACAAAGTTGTGTGTGACAGATTGTGTGTGTGAAAGATTGTGTGTGTAACAAAGCTGTGTGTGACAAAGTTGTGTGTGAAAGATTGTGTGTGACAAAGTTGTGTGTCAAAGATTGTGTGTGAAAGATTGTGTGTGTGATAAAGCTGTGTGTGACAAAGTTGTGTGCGAAAGATTGTTTGTGACAGATTGTGTGTGCGAAAGATTGTGTGTGTAACAAAGCTGTGTGTGACAAAGTTGTGTGTGTGAAAGATTGTGTGTGACAAAGTTGTGTGTGAAAGGTTGTTTGTGACAGATTGTGTGTGTGAAAGATGGTGTGTGTAACAAAGCTGTGTGTGACAAAGTTGTGTGTGAAAGATTGTGTGTGACAAAGTTGTGTGTGAAAGATTGTTTGTGACAGATTGTGTGTGTGAAAGATTGTGTGTGTAACAAAGCTGTGTGTGTGTGACAAAGTTGTGTGTGTGAAAGATTGTGTGTGACAAAGTTGTGTGTGAAAGATGGTTTGTGACAGATTGTGTGTGTGAAAGATTGTGTGTGTAACAAAGCTGTGTGTGACAAAGTTGTGTGTGTGAAAAATTGTGTGTGAAAGATTGTTTGTGACAGATTGTGTGTGTGAAAGATTGTGTGTGTAACAAAGGTGTGTGTGTAAAAGATTGTGTGTGACCAAGTTGTGTGTGAAAGATTGTTTGTGACAGATTGTGTGTGTGAAAGATTGTGTGTGTAACAAAGCTGTGTGTGACAAAGTTGTGTGTGGATGATTGTGTGTGACAAAGTTGTGTGTGAAAGATTGTTTGTGACAGATTGTGTGTGTGAAAGATTGTGTGTGTAACAAAGCTGTGTGTGACAAAGTTGTGTGTGGATGATTGTGTGTGACAAAGTTGTGTGTGAAAGATTGTTTGTGTGAAAGATTGTGTGTGTAACAAAGCTGTGTGTGACAATTGTGTGTGTGAAAGATTGTGTGTGACAAAGTTGGGGTGTGTGAAAGATGTTTTTTGTGACAGATGTTCCTGTGAAGATTGTGGTGGTTGTGTACAAAGCTGTGTTGGACAAAGTTTTGTGTGTGAAAGATTGTGTGTGAGACAAAGTTTTGTGTTTGAAAGATTGTTGTGTGACAGATTGTGTGTGTGAAAAGATTGTGTGTAACAAAGCTGTGTGTGACAAAGTTGTGTGTGGATGATTGTGTGTGACAAAGTTGTGTGTGAAAGATTGTTTGTGACAGATTGTGTGTGTGAAAGATTTTGTGTGTGACAAAGCTGTGTGTGACAAAGTTGTGTGTGTGAAAGATTGTGTGTGAAAGATTGTTTGTGTGAAAGATTGTTTGTGACAGATTGTGTGTGTGTGTGAGAAAGATTGTGTGTGTGAAAGATTGCGTGTGACAAAGTTGTGTGTGAAAGATTGTTTGTGACAGATTGTGCCTGTGAAAGATTGTGTGTGTAACAAAGCTGTGTGTGACAAAGTTGTGTGTGAAAGATTGTGTGTGACAAAGTTGTGTGTGAAAGATTGTTTGTGACAGATTGTGTGTGTGAAAGATTGTGTGTGTAACAAAGCTGTGTGTGACAAAGTTGTGTGTGTGAAAGATTGTGTGTGACAAAGTTGTGTGTGAATTGTTTGTGACAGATTGTGTGTGTGAAAGATTGTGTGTGTAACAAAGCTGTGTGTGTGTGACAAAGTTGTGTGTGTGAAAGATTGTGTGTGACAAAGTTGTGTGTGAAAGATGGTTTGTGACAGATTGTGTGTGTGAGAAAGATTGTGTGTGTAACAAAGCTGTGTGTGACAAAGTTGTGTGTGAAAGATTGTGTGTGTAACAAAGCTGTGTGTGACAAAGTTGTGTGTGTGAAAGATTGTGTGTGACAAAGCTGTGTGTGAAAGATTGTTTGTGACAGATTGTGTGTGTGTGAGAAAGATTGTGTGTGACAAAGTTGTGTGTGAAAGATTGTTTGTGACAGATTGTGTGTGTGTGAAAGATTGTGTGTGTAACAAAGCTGTGTGTGACAAAGTTGTGTGTGTGAAAGATTGTGTGTGTAACAAAGCTGTGTGTGACAAAGTTGTGTGTGTGAAAGATTGTGTGTGACAAAGTTGTGTGTGAAAGATTGTTTGTGACAGATTGTGTGTGTGAAAGATTGTGTGTGACAAAGCTGTGTGTGAAAGATTGTTTGTGTGAAAGATTGTGTGTGTAACAAAGCTGTGTGTGACAAAGTTGTGTGTGTGAAAGATTGTGTGTGACAAAGTTGTGTGTGAAAGATTGTTTGTGACAGATTGTGTGTGTGAAAGATTGTGTGTGTAACAAAGCTGTGTGTGACAAAGTTGTGTGTGTGAAAGATTGTGTGTGACAAAGTTGTGTGTGAAAGATGTGTGTGAAGGAGGCACGGAGGCGGCGGGGGAGGCCGGGAAGGATACAGAACCAAAAACAGGAACCCCACAGAAAGATGTGGGGAGAAACCATTAGAATCAATGGCCGTGGCCCTGATTACGCACATTAAGGAAAACCCTTGTTTAATAGAATTTACAACTTCATGATGCTGGTTTTAAGTCTTCTCCTCACCTGCGCCGCGGTGAACAAACATATTTTGGGATTTCACATCATGTAGGAATTATGATGGGATGCCTCAAAGAATGGTTCTAGCATAAGTTATGATGGCAGAATGCCCGCGCAATACACCAAATGAAAGTTAGAACCACGGACCCGAATGTTGTTCTCGCACACAGTGCTCTTGCAAGGCAAGAACATCTAGCCAAACCAGGTGAAACTTGGGACACAACTTCAAATAGCTTAACTGCCTCAAGATCAGTATTTTATGAACAAACAATGCAATGCCTCTGTGGATACATGGGAAAACCATGATGGGTGCCATTATTTGCACCACGGTCACCATCTCCATAAACTTCATCTGCACAACAAATCGTGAAAGTGCCATTATCTGCATTGCCATTCGGCCCTTATGACTGTCGTTCAGAAAAACTAGTTCACAGGGAAAGGAGGGCGGGCAAAATAATATGGTTATGGCTGATGGCGTCACATGATATGATGACTGATAACTATCATCTGGCTCCTGGTCCCAGCCGGCATCATTTCTCTGATGGCAACTGGCATCCTATAACCGAGGGCTTTCTGAACCTGATTTTGGGTTGGGTCTTTTGAAAAAAATCTTCTTGATCAAACGGACACCAAAAACCCGAACAAAACACCAAACACGATCAAAACAATACACCAGAGATGAAAGCACCAAAAAGCCATGAAAGTATCGAATGCCTTGACAGCGGCTTGCAAGCGCAACCTTCATCCAACGGGGATACGACCCGCAGAGACACGCAAAGTTACCTGTCTGTTGCTGCTGCTGCTGCAGCTGCTGCCCTTGCTGCCCTTGCTGTTGTTGTCGTCGTTGTCGTCGTTGTCGTCGTTGTCGTTGTTGTCGTGGTTGTCATTGATGTCGTTGTGGAGATTGTTGTGGTTGTTGTTGTGGTTGTTGTCGTGGTTGTTGTTGTCGTTGTCGTTGTCGTCGTCGTCGTCGTGGTCGTCGTGGTCGTCGTGGTCGTCGTGGTCGTCGTGGGTTGTTGTGGTTGTTGTTGTTGTTGTGGTTGTTGAGGTTGTTGTTGTTGTTGTTGTTGTTGTTGTTGTTGTTGCCGTCTTTGTTTCTTTTGTTGTCGCGGCGGCGGTGTTTGTGTGAAGCCATTGTTCCGACCATGGAGCCCACCCAACACAACCGCAATGAAAATACGCGCTGCCAACGACGGCTGTTTTCCCACGCACCCAGAAGCGGTGACCGTCCCTGATGGGTCCTACTCCGAATGACCTGCTGGATCTGAAAGGGGAACAGCAATGTAACGTCAGAACAATTTGGTGACGTGTCGAAAATAACCCTGAATGAAAAGGTTGAATGCGCAGGACTGCGTCCAACATGGTCAAACTCTAAGCGCCTCTGAAAATGAGAGACGAGGTCGGCTCCAATTAAATCAGCCCGCGGCCGAATCAGCAAGTTTCCTTTCGTCCTTTTGTCCTACATTCTTCTTCTTGTTCCTTGGAGTCCGCAGACCTCCGCAGTTAGCTTGCTGCTGAATGTGCTAAAACAGCAACTGGCTCAGACTTCTTCGATCTCCTCACAGTGCTCGAAGACATTGGCGCGGGCTGCGCCCATCATGGTTTCCCCGTTCCCTACAACTTACCAATGGCTTAGGGGGAAGAATGTCGATGTGCCAAGCCATTCAATATCCGCCTTAATGAATTGGATGGTTTACTGCTATGCAAGACCTGGGTACCCAACCTTGTGGCCCACTGTGAAACTAGCGGTTGTGAAAATAGAAGACTGGAAGACTATCCTCTGTTCGCATTACCCCAACAAAAGGAAATTGGCGGATGTGATATACTGCTGCTATGCTTGCCCTGGCGCTCCTGTTCTTCTTCTGCAGGTTGCGGAGCCGCCCTGAACTTCACAAAGCGTCCAGTTCGCTGGCCACCGGACGGGTCGGGCTGATTGATCTCTGGGCGCCCCGGGAATCGAGTCGGCTGTGGATCCTGGCAAGGCTTGCATCCCGGTTCAGAAACATGCAGCTGCAAAAACATCTTCCAACAAGAATTGCCGAATGCGCGAAAAGAAAACCTCACCCAAACCCAACAGAACGCAAGATATGGGCACCAAACCAGGCTGTCCTCAGTGGAGAACCACCGTGCGTCCCAACAGCACCACTTCCTTCCCGACAAGGCCATTAGAAAATCGAAAATCTCTTCGTCCGTGGGCATGGGGAGGTCCACTGCATCGCCGGGATTCCTGCAGAGACGAAATTAGCACGTTCAGGATGGGAGGGCCGTCGAAGGTTCTAGGCTGCTTGTGTAAGCATTTACCATGGCAGCCTACAGCATGTTTGGCCAAATGTGGATGACTTTTTTGGTTTACTTGGCTGACTTTTTTTGGGCAAAGTTTGTCCGAAAATCTTTTTCTTGCAACCTGCTGGAACAAGCCTGGCTTGCAAAATGACTGGTGCATACATGTCACGTTTGGAGCTACCAAGGACGCACAAGGGGTCCATACTATGACAAAAAACATGGATTCCCTTATTGAATGTTTCACTCAACGAGGTCTTGTTTCGATGCGTCGTGAAAGGGATAAGGCATTGCAATTTCCATCTTCAGGAATATATCCGAATCATCAGGCCGCGCCCCTTTTTTCTGATCTTCTACCTTGTCCCTGAAGCACCTGCGAAGCTTCCTTCCAAAGAGCCGCTGCCAACATACATTTTGTCACCGCCATCATCATCATCATCATCACAACCATCATCATCATCATCATCGTCATCATGATCATCATCCTCGCATCATCACGACACCAGCAACAACGCGCCTACAGCTTCACACCTGTAGCTGTAACATTGCATGGCTCGCAACAACATCACCACCAACAACACATCAAAAAAATATGCCACTGTCAAGATGCAGCTGCACAAGTGTACAGGTGCAGCTGCGCCAGAAACCTTCAATTTTCATAGAACTCTCAGACCAGGGGCGGCAAAACGACGTTAGCAAAACGTGTGATTTTGGGTTATCCCTCAAAATGACCTCAAAACTTAATTGAGCCTCAATGGGGCCTCGAAAACAGCTCGATACAGCTTCAAACCGGGCTCGGTTTGCACTCGATGGCTTCACGAATGATTTCAATAAATTTTGAGGTATGAATTTGCCGATTTTTGCCCGGGAAACATATCAAACCTTACTCGGAATGACCTCGGCGAGGAATTCGGAGAAACATAGAATTTACGTAAACTTACTCAAACTGGCCTCGATGTGATTTTTTGTTGTTTTCAGTGATTTTCAGTGAAACCCGTAAACTCCCTCAAAATCAACTCAAAATCAAATTTGTGTACAAATACAGAGCTGCAGCCAGCAACCACCTCAATGGAGACTCAAACTAGCCTCAAATGAGCCTCAAATGGGGCTCAAATGGGGCTCAAACTCAAAATCAACCAGTGAATTCTGATTTTGATAGTTCATGATGTTTGTTGAACTGAATCGAACATTATGTTGAATGTGTTGTTTCAATGTTTTGTTTCAATGTGTTGCATTATTTTTCAATGTGTTTGCCATGTCTTTTCATTATGTTCATTGATGTTCAATGTGTTTTCGTTATGTTTCACTGTTGTTTTTTGAATTTGTTTCCTTATGTTCCATTGTTTTCATGAATCTTCATTGTTTTTCTATGTAATTCATTATTTTCACTAGTTGTTCAATGTGTATCTTGGTTTTTCATGTTTCAGCGTGTTTCATTATTTTTATTGTTTTTTCGATGTTTTGGTTTTTTTCATTGTTTGTTTCTTTTTCTTTTTGTTTTTTATAAATTTCACCATTTTCCATTGGTTTTCATTATCTTTCATTGTGTGTTCCATTGTTTTTCATTATTTATAATTGCTTTTTCAGTGGTTTTCATTATTTTTCATGGGTTGCCCCATTGCTTTTCATCAGTTTTCATGTCTTTTTTCAATATGTTTTCGTTTTTTCTATTTTATTTTTCATGTTTTCTGCATTTTTCAATGTTATTGTGTTTTTTCAGTGATTTTTCAAATGGCTTTCATTGTTTGTTCATTGTTTTAAACATATGTTTTCATTGTTTTTTAATGATGATTTGTCTTATTTTCATTGTTTTTTTACTGTGTTTTTACTATGTTTCATTGTTTTTCAATATTGTTCATTTTTTCATTTGTTCCATCGTTTTTGAGTTGTTTAAAGTTTCTTGATTATGTTTCATTGTTTTGTCAATGGTTTTTAATAATTTTCATTTATTATTTTGTTCGTTTTTCATTTTCCATTGTTTTTCAATGCTTCCCATTGGTTTTTCATTTTACCATTGTTTTTTATTTTCCATTGTTTTCTGCATGTTTTCATGTTTCCAAAGTTTTTCATTATTTTTCATTGTTTTTCAGTTAGTTTCATTCTTGTTCATTGTTTTTCAATGTTTTTCATTAATTTGCATTGTTTGCTTCATGTTTTTCAATATTTTCAGTGTTTTTTCAAATGTGTTTTCATGATTTTTCATTGTTTTCCCAGCGTTTTGTTAATTGTTTTTCAATGTGTTTTTCCATTGCTTCCATAATGTTTTATTGGTTTGTCAAAGTCTTTCATGGTTTTTCCATTGTTTTTCATGTGTGTCTCAATGTTTGTAATTATTTTCATCGTTTTTTCAATGTCTTTTTCATTAGTGCTCATTGTTTTTTGAGTGGGTTTCATTATTTTCATGGTTGTTTTCACTGGTTTTCATCATTTTTCATTGATTCTTTCAATGTGTTTTCCCTTTTTTATTTTTTCGATGTTTCTACATGTTCTTCATCAATTTTCATTTGTTTTGAATATTTGTTGATTATTCGTCATTGTGTTTGCAATGTTCTTTTACTGTGCCTCACTATTTTTCATTGATGTTCATTGTTGCTTCATTCTTTTTAATGTGTTTTTCATATGTTTTTGATGTGTTTAATGATTTCTCATTGTTTCTTCAATGTGTTTTCATGTGTTTCATTATTTTTCATTGATTTTCACTGTTTGCTTCAGTATGTTCATTGTTTTTCCATGTTTTTCCCATGTTCTTGGATGTGTAATCCTTCAAAATGAGTTCAAAACTTAAATGAACCTCAAAGTACCCTCGAACACAGCTCGAAACAGCCTGACACCGGGCTCAATTTTCACTCGATGGCTCAACGGATGTTTCGATTTTTAGTGAAATTTACTCAAATTGGCCTCACATGTTTTTTTGTCGTTTTCAGTGAAACCCTTAAATTCTTTCAAAAACAATTCAAAAGCAGATTTATGTACAAATTCAGACTTGCAGTCAGCAACAACCTCAATGGAGACTCGAAATAGCCTCACCTGAACCTCAAATGAGCCTCAAATGGGCCTCAACTCAAGATCAACTGGTGAATGATTTTTACATTAGTTTCCATTGTTTTTTCAATGTCTTTCATTATTTTCACTGATTCTTTCAATGTGTTTTCAATGTTTTTGATTTTTTTTTGCAATGCTGTTTTAGGTTGTTTCATCCGTTTTCATTGATTGCTCATGTTTATTTCTATCATTTGCCATTGTTTTGTGAATGTTTTTAGATGTGTTTCGTTATTTTTGATTGATTTTCATAGATTTGTTGAAATATTCGATGTTTTTCCCATGCTTTTGGGTGTGCTTAATTAATCATTTTTTCATTGTAAGTTTCAACGTTTTTCAATGTCTTTCATTATTTTTCATGGATTTTCACTGTTTGCTTCAATATGTTCATTGTTTTTCCATGTTTTTCCAATGTTCTTGGATGTGTAATCCTTCAAAATGAGTTCAAAACTTAAATGAACCTCAAAGTACCCTCGAACACAGCTCGAAACAGCCTTACACCGGGCTCAAATTTTCACTCGATGGCTCAACGGATGTTTCGATTTTTAGTGAAATTTACTCAAATTGGCCTCACATGTTTTTTTGTCGTTTTCAGTGATTCTTTCAAAATCAATTCAAAAGCAGATTTATGTACAAATCCAGACTTGCAGTCAGCAACAACCTCAATGGAGACTCGAAATAGCCTCACCTCAACCTCAAATAACCCTCAAATGGGCCTCAACTCAAGATCAACCGGTGAATGATTTTTACATTAGTTTCCATTGTGTTTTCAATGTTTTTCATTATTTTCACTGATTCTTTCAATGTGTTTTCAATGTTTTTCATGTTTTTTTGCAATGTTGCTTTAGGTTGTTTCATCCGTTTTCATTGATTGCTCATGTTTACTTCTATCATTTGCCATTGTTTTGTGAATGTTTTTTAGATTTGTTTCGTTTTTTTTGATTGATTTTCATAGATTTGTTGAAATATTCAGTGTTTTTCCCATGCTTTTGGGTGTGCTTAATTAATCATTTTTTCATTGTATTTTCAATGTTTTTCAATGTCTTTGATTATTTTTCATGGATTTTCACTGTTTGCTTCAGTATGTTCATTGTTTTTCCATGTTTTTCCAATGTTCTTGGATGTGTAATCCTTCAAAATGAGTTCAAAACTTAAATGAACCTCAAAGTACCCTCGAACACAGCTCGAAACAGCCTGACACCGGGCTCAATTTTCACTCGATGGCTCAACGGATATTTCGATTTTTAGTGAAATTTACTCAAATTGGCCTCACATGTTTTTTTGTCGTTTTCAGTGAAACCCTTAAATTCTTTCAAAATCAATTCAAAAGCAGATTTATGTACAAATCCAGACTTGCAGTCAGCAACAACCTCAATGGAGACTCGAAATAGCCTCACCTGAACCTCAAATGAGCCTCAAATGGGCCTCAACTCAAGATCAACCGGTGAATGATTTTTACATTAGTTTCCATTGTTTTTTCAATGTGTTTCATTATTTTCACTGATTCTTTCAATGTGTTTTCAATGTTTTTGATGTTTTTTTTGCAATGCTGTTTTAGGTTGTTTCATCCGTTTTCATTGATTGCTCATGTTTATTTCTATCATTTGCCATTGTTTTGTGAATGTTTTTAGATGTGCTTCGTTATTTTTGATTGATTTTCATAGATTTGTTGAAATATTCAATGTTTTTTCCCATGCCTGTTGGTTTGCTTAATTAATCATTTTTTCATTGTATTTTCAATGTTTTTCAATGTGTTTCATTATTTTTCATGGATTTTCACTGTTTGCTTCAATATGTTCATTGTTTTTCCAATGTTCTTGGATGTGTAATCCTTCAAAATGAGTTCAAAACTTAAATGAACCTCAAAGTACCCTCGAACACAGCTCGAAACAGCCTGACACGGGCTCA